GTCTGCCTAAGATTCACTCACTGCTCTACGCTGAAAGAAATCAACTGCCGAATACTGTAGCTTATTGAGTCACAGTGGCGCGGTGGTTAGAGTGCAGTACTGCAGGCTCTTTCTGCTGACTGCCGACTGGCTACAATTTGGCAGTTCGAATCTCCCCAGGCTGAAGGTTGACTCAGCCTTCCATCCTTCCAAGGTGGGTAAAATGAGGACCCAGATTGTTGGGAGCAAGAGGCTGACTCTGCAAACCGCTTAGAGAGGGCTGTAAAGCACTGTAAAGCAGTATATAAGTCTACATGCTATTGCTATTTGTATTATATTTGTATGCTACCTATATTATTTTTACAAATAACTCAAGGCAGTGAATATATCCAACACACCTCTTCCTCCTCCAATTTTCCCCACAACAAAAACCCTGTGAGGTGAATTGAGCTAAGAGAGGGGGAGGGATTGGCCCAAAGTCACCCAGCTGGCTTTTGTCTAGTGAGAACTAGAGCTCACCATCCCCCAGCTTCCAGCCTGGTGCCTTAACCACTAGGCTCTCATCAACCTGCTGCTTCCTCTTTTGACCCAGGTTTTCTTTTATTTCCACATTGCAGAAAAACTGGGGTAAGGGCGGGAAAAGCTTTGGTGCCCCAAACATCAATGGCCACAACTTTCTAGCTTATTTTGGTTTTTCAATTTTTTTAAAAAAAGGAAACGTTTTACCATTTGCAGTTATACTTTAGCCGAGCACAGACGTTCTTATATTTCTGTGCATGTTGCTCATATAGAGCATACATCGTCAGCTAAGTTTTGTTTGGAGTGCAATTCTGCTTGTCCTTAAAGCCTGACTCCAACCACAGGGTGGGTTCAAAGGGGTGATGGATCCTTGGCTTGGTTGGTTGTTTTGTTCTGAACATCTGATGGGTTTTTGTTTTTTAAATGCCTTCATTGTATTTTGATGGTGTGTTTTGTAGTCTCCTCAAGGATGTAACAAATTAGCGCAACCTAGATATGTCATAAGTTAATAAGTTATGAATAAACACCTTTCATAACAAGCTGGGGAGGCCCCAGTTTTACATATCATGAAGTGGCTAAGATGCCGAGCTTGCCGATCAGAAAGGTCGGCAGTTTGGCGGTTCGAATCCCTAGCGCCGCGTAACGCAGTGAGCTCCCATGACTTGTCCCAGCTTCTGCCAACCTAGCAGTTCAAAAGCACGTAAAAATGCAGGTAGAAAAATAGGGGGCACCTTTTGTGGGAAGGTAATCATGTTCTGTGCACCTTCGGCATTGCGTCATGCCGGCCACATGACCATGGAGACATCTTTGGACAGCTCTAGCTCTTCAGCTTTAAAGCCGATATGAGCACCGCCCCCTATAGTCGGGAACAACTACCACATATGTGCGAGGGGAACTTTTACCTTTTACCTAAGATGCTGAATTGGCAGTGAGAAATCACCTTGGGACACAGAAGGGCCCTGGGTCTTTTGGGGCTAATTGTTCATTCTCCGTCTCTAGTCGTCTGACAGGGTTGCGCAGGAGGAAAACAGGGGGAAGAAATACGGTAGCTATCTATGTTCCCTTGTCCTCTTTATTTGCTTAGCAAAGATTTAATAAATATTGGAGATCATACTTTACTTTTGGAATCATTCAAAGTCTTAGCAATAGGGATTGTAATATTAGAAGTATCAGCAGTGATCTATCACTCCATATTACTTTCTGTGCAAGAATACAATTTCTACTTTATTTATGGTATTTCCTAACTTTATTATTTCTAGAAATAGCCCAAGGCAGCGAACATACCCAATACTCCTTCCTCTTCCTATTTTTTCCCCATAACAACAACTCTTTGAGGTAGGCTGGGCTGAGACAGTGTGGCTGGCCAAAAGTCACCCAGGTAGCTTTCATGCCTAAAGTGGGACTAGGACTCTCAGTCTCCTGGTGATTGGCCCAAAGTCACCCAGATGGTTTTCATATTTAAGGTGGGATTAGAATTCACCATTTCCCGGTGTTTGGCCTAAAGTCACACAGTTGACTTTCATTCCTAAGATAGGACTAGAACTTTCAATCTCCTGGCTTCTAACCTAGCGCCTTAACACTAGACCTTTCTGGTCTTTCTTTGTGCCCATCTGGTTAGTTATTATGAGAACTGAATGCTGGGTTAGAGTCCCTTTGGTTTCAATCGGCAGTACTTCTTCTGTCCTTGCACAGAAGCATTTCGAACCCCTGAAAAGGCAATGTGGATATTAAGTAGGAACGATTGAAATCTATTCACACAGTTGTGCTTAAAGGTAAAAAGTAAAGACACACTGTGCTTGCCAATTAGCTCAGTTTTCACACATTTATTTCCCTGGTTTTGGTTTACGCTGGATTCCATTGGGTGCATTTTCCCCGTTCTGCTTCGATTTTTACACCTTGAAGAAGTGGACCATAATAACAAGTATTTTAAAGGGCTTGAGAGCAAAATAAAAAAATTCTCCCTCCCTCATCCCCTCTCTCATCCTCTCTTCTTTCTCTCCCCCCTCTTCTTTCTCTCCTTTCTCTTTCACTCCTCTCTCTCCTTTCTCTTTCTCTCCTCTCCCCCTCTCTTCTTTTCTTCTTCCTCTCTCTCTCTCTCCTTTCTCTCATCTCCCTCTCCCCTCCCCTTTCTCTTTCTCTTCTCTCTCTCTTCTTTCTCTCCTCTCCCTCCCCACTCTCCTTTCTCTTTTTCCCCTCTCTCCCCCTCCCCCTTCTCTTTCTTTCCTTTCCCTCTCCCTCCCTCCCCCACCTCTGTTGTGTATGTGTAAATGCCATAAACAGGAGAAGTATGTCTTCCCCACCTCTGTAATTTCTGGCAACTTTGCTAGAGAAGACAGCAGGAATTCATTGTACTAACTAAGGTTTAAATGTAAAGCGCAATACACCTTCTCACGAGAATGCAGAATGTTTTGCAATTCCATAAAAGAAATGGGTCTTACCACTCTCTATTCCCCCCTCCCCAGGCCGTTCCACCTCACTAAGTTGTTGTACCCGCACGCGCGCGCGCGCGTTTTAGCTAACTTGGCTTCCGAAAGCCGAGGAGAAGAGGGTGCAGATTACAAAAGCGCCCCTCCGCTCGGGATTTATCTCGCTTTGGAGCTCGAAATTTAGAAGTTCACTGCAAGGGACGGCTTAACTGTACTTTAAAAAACAAAACAAAATCTGGGCGAGGAAAAGCTTCCAAACGGGGCTTGAGAAAGAGAAGGTTGTGGGTTACGGGATGGAGGGGTGGGGGTTTAAAGCCATCGCGGAGAGTGCAGTGTTGGAGCATCGCAGTTTCCCTGATCTCTCTCTTCCCACCCTCCCCGTTTCAGATTCGGAACGTGGGTTTATAATCCTCCGCAGGCGCGATTATAAAGGGCGAGGCAACCGCCGCGGTGCCTGATCTTTCCTCCGGTTTACTCAGAAGTAAGTCCCAACGAGCTCCTTCTGCACTTTCCGCGGAGGAGCGGCGGGAAATGTGCATGCTTTACGTGGGAGAAACTCCCTCCGAATGCAGGGGGGCGCCGAGGGGCAGCGCTTTCCCCAAGGCACGCGGAACTCGCGGAGGCTGCGCTCACAGCCACCTGAATTGGAAGAAACTGAGCCATTTCTGAACCTTCCCCCCCAAAAAAAGCCCGTCCCCCCCCGGGTTGATTCCTAGCCGTCCGGGAGCTGCGTTCTCCCTACAACCAGCCCTCCGAAGTCTTCGAGGGGCCTCGTTCCCAGGGAAGCGCGCCAAGGGCGTTTGCAACCTGGGGTGGGGCGTGTACTTGCAGGACCAGCCGCCGCCGCTGCTCGGGTCCCCAGGCATTGGTGATTTTGGGGGAGGAGGAGGCTGGAGTAGGTACAAATCCCTCCCAGCGCTTTTTGCCTGGCGAAAGAGTTTGTGATTCGGGCTCCCGTCCTGGGGCGTGGAACTGGCGCGCGCGTCTATATAAAAGCTTCCCCGACTAGGCAGCCTCGGAGCTGGCTGCGCCCCCGCGGTTGGCCCCGGGTTCGGTTCGGAGCTCATCAAGGAGGCCCGACCAGCGGAGCCGAGGCACAGCGCGACGCAAGCGGATTCCCCCGACCGACCGGCCGGCCGGCCAGGCGGGCGGGCTTCGCGCGCGTCCCCCCTCCTCCGTTTCTTTCCCCGAGGAGGGGAGGGGGGGAAAAGGCACCGGCGGCGGCGGCAGCGTCCGCCTCTTTCGTGGGAGAGAAGCGGAGGAGGCAGGCGGATCGATCGGGGCAGAATTTGTTCCGAAGTGAGCTGCTCCGGGAGGACGCGCCGGCCCGGGGAGCCAGGTGAGTGGCAACGCCCCACGCGAGAAGCTCACGGCCGCCTTTCCCAGTGGGTTCTCGGTAACCTTCCCCGCAGGGATTCTCGTCAGCGTTTAGGGTCACTTCCAGGGCACTCCACCGCCTTGGCCTTCTTTGAAGACTCTTGTGCTGACACTTGGCATAAGCTCAGAGACATCGCTCCACAATTGAATTTGACCCATATGGTGGTGGTGGTTTATTATTATTACTATTATTATTATTATATTGTTTGGGGGGGGGGTTCTGGCGCTCAGTTGAGGCCTTCGTGGAACAAGGAAGTTCTTTCTCGCGGTGTCTCCCAAGTTGCTAAGACTACAGCTCCCATCGTCTCCGCCCGTTCCTATTTGGCACAACGCTTGGCGGGGCTGCTGGAAGCTGCCTTCGAAACATACCTAAGCTCTCACCTCACTGGCGTGAGTCGGACGGCTCCCGACGGGACGTTACCTGTCCAGGTTCCCCCCCCCCCACAGAAAAGCATCGGAGGAAACGCAGCAAAATCACCGACCCGAAAGATGGGTGAGTGGGTGGGTGTAGGAGAACAGCGGCCGCGGGTTTTGCCCGTCGCCCGAGGCGCTTAACTCGGGGTTTGCGCGCCGCCTTTGGGAGACCCCTGTGAGCTGAGGCGCGGCCAAGCCGATCTTGCGCGTTCGGCAAACTCAGCGCAGAAGCGGCTTTTCTTTCGGCGCGAAGCCCAAGCCGAGCACATCTTCGCGAGCCTCCCCTTGACCCTCACTCTCCGTCCTGCGCGCCCAGAACTGGGGGAGCCTCGGGAGTCTCGGGACCTGCTTTTCCTTCTCTAGATGTCCGCCTCCTGCTGAGCTTCTTGCCCGCGCGGAGTTCGAGCTGTGAGGAAGGGCGTCTCCTTGAAACGCTTCCTGCCGCCTTAGTCTGGAGCCCGCCACCTCGGCGCTTTGCCTTCGCGCAGGTGCCGCAGGTTGACCCGCTGCCTCCAGAATCTGGAACTCAAAAGGTTCGCCCCAGTCTTTAACCTTCCGCATTAATCCCCTTGGCAGTTAACTTCCGAGGGAAGGGTCAGGCGCTCTGCATGTGTTCAGAAGCCCCCGCATTCTGGGGTGGCGGGAATCCACGACCTGAAATTCAGCGCCACTGCTCAGGTTTATCCTTAGCCTTTTATTTACCTGCCTCCTGCTCGGGTTTTCTAAGCAAAGGGCGAAACTCGAGGAGTTCGCCCCTTGAAGCGAGGTGCTGGCTCCGTCCAATCTTCCCGCTTGAGTTATTGAGTCCTGATCAGGGCTGGGGAGCTTCTGGAACCTGCAGCGCGGATTCGTCTTTTCACGTGTCCCTGTGAAGGGGCAGCATGGTTCCAAAAACCATCCAGAATTAGTCTCCATAAATTAACCTTTTCATCCGTTGGGATATGAAAGGAAGGTGCATGCGAATGTGTGCATTTTTGGTGTGTTTCAGGAGGAGGAAACTGGATCAAAATAAAAGGAAAGCAACGCAAAGAAATGACCAAGAGTTTGTTAGCTTTGACACCCCTCTTAGGATTTCCAGGGGGGGGGGGAAAGCAACCTTTTGTGGGTGGATTTCAATGCGCGCGGTACGTGCGCTTGTTCTCCGCACCTTCTGCGGGGATGGGAATCCAGGCTACAAGAGGGGTAGCTGGGCGGCAAATTGCAGGATTCTAATCTGGACCGTAGCCTGTCTCCAAAGCGCGTTTCTGTCACGTGAGGTTGGGGATGGGATTTAGCCAAGGTTCCGCGTGGGCTGCTCAGCAGAGGTCAGTTTCTGGAAGCGGAAGTTTCTGTGACCAAGCTGCCAGTCCGAGTCCCTCAGCTCGAAATTAGGGCGCTCAAGCAGGCGCTCTTAGAGACGGCAATCCGGCGCCGTCCAGATGGTTTAGTCCCATCAGCTACAGACAACTTGGTCAAAGCTCAGGGAGCGTGGAGGTTGAGGGTCCTGGGAACACTGGATTGTCTGCTTTTGCACTCGGGTACTCAGAAAGCCCCTCCTTCCGTCCTGTCTTTGTGCATTTGGAGCCTTGAAATGCCTTGTTAAGGACAGGGAGGGGGGTCGTTTCTAACACTAGAGTCCCTAACCTGAATCTTATCGATAGAGAAATCTGACTTTAGACCTGGCAGGCTTAGCTAAAGTACATTCTCGGGTTTGCCTCACCCGCCCCAGGCATCCCCAAAATCTACCTTTTACCCCGGATTCCACTGCCTCTTTCCTCCCCTTCTCCTCCTAAATTCGCCGCAACTCCCTCCCGCTTTCGGGGGTTGCGGCGACTAAACAAGCGGCCGGGCACTTTAGTGGCACAAACCTGGAGGGAGAGGTTTCCCTGACCGTAGGAAACGAAAAAGGAGAGGACGCGCGCGCTCTTTGCCAAGATCCGTCTCTGGGAGCGAGAAGCGGTGCTGGTGGCCACCCGTAATCAGCCTTTCCCAACCGGCCGCCGTGCAGATACGCGGCAGTTCCAGCTCTCATCATCCGCAGCCGGGGAGGGCGAGGCGTAGGTGGCCAATATATCTGAAAATGTGCGGGGTCGGGTTTGGGAGCGGCTGGGAGTTGACCGCTTGTCTTGCTCGCCTAATCCTCTTGCGCTAAAACTTGGTACCGCCGCGCTTTCAGCACCGCGGACAGCTCACGGCGCGCTTCGAATGAGCGGCGGTGGCGTTTTCCTCGGTTGCTGGCAGTTCAGCTGCGGCGGTTGCGATGCCACACTCACAAATGAGTTTCTCTCGGGTTTCATTGGAAAATCTGACTCCCTTAAAAGCGCGTAAAAGTGGGTAATCTTATGTATTTCTAACCAGCAATACAGTAAGTTATAGGTTCTTCTGCTTGAGCAAGGGGCTGGACTAGAAGACCCTTAAGATCCCTTCCAGCTCTGTTCTGTTCTGTTCTATACCTATTCCTATTCTATTTTCTATTCTATTCTATTCTATTTCTATTCTGTTCTGTTCTATTTCTCTATTCTATTCTATTTCTATATTCTATTTCTATATTCTATTTCTATATTCTATTTCTATTCTATTTCTATTCTATTTCTATTTTATTTCTATTCTATTTCTATTCTATTTCTATTCTATTTCTATTCCATTTCTATTCTATTCTATCCTATTCTATAATGTAGCAAGATAGAAGATAGTCAATTTGATCTAGTGTTTAAGGCACCAGGCTAGAAAGCAGAGGACCCTGAGTTCAAGTCCCATTGGGCCAATCACCAGGAGACTGTGAGTTCTAGTCTATCTTTAGTCATGAAAGCCGGCTGGGTGAACTTGGGCCAGTTCCTTCCTCCCCCACCCTCTCTTACCCTCCCTCCCTCCCTCTCTTTCCCGGCCCAACTCACCTCAAGGATTGTTGTGGGGAATATAGAAGGAGGAAGGTGCGTTGGATGTATTCACCAGCTTGAGCTATTTGTAAAAATAATAAAGACAGGATACAGATTTTTTTTTAAAAAAGATAGCCTATTCCAATGATCTTTAGACATGCTTTGTATTACAATCCCAGATTCAGTGGCAGTGGGGTGGGGGATCCATCTGAAGCCTTTGAAAGCTTTTGCTGAGATTGAGATTTGCTTGCATTACTTTCTATGAAACAAACAGGTACAAAAGTGGTCCCCCCCCCCCAAAAAAGGCAACTGGGATTTATTTTTCCTTGAAGATGTTTCACTTCTCACCCAAGAAGCTTCCTCAGTTCTGATGAAGTTTCTTGGATGAGAAGTGAAACGTTTTCAAGGGAAATCAAAGTCCGATTGCTTTTGGGGGGGGACAGCTTTGGGACAACCATGAACCTGGATGATGGAGAATCTCCACAAACAAAGTGGCATAAAACCATTCTTCTCTTCTGGAAACTGCATGTTTCTAAAGAAGATACTGCATATCTACAGTATATGCCTATGGGGGTTCACTGTACTTTGAAAGGCAGTATTGCTGATCAGGTTCGCACTCTCTACAAAGCCATGGTTTGCTAAATAAACCACAGCAGTTCTGTTTCCATCAAACAGCTAACATAAAGACTGGATTTCCACTACAGCAAAAAAAAAAAAAATACAATTGATGGTTGATGCTGAATGACAGCTGTCTGATCTGAGATGATTTCTCCGATGGAATTTAGACTGAAGGCAGCTTTAGTATAACCCCCCCTCCCTAAATTCTAATGCTATCTAATACTTACTCCTAGGTAAGTGGATATCACATCTGGGGGTGTTGTGCATACTCCAATGATTGTACAGTCAATCGTAACTTATTTCCTCCGTGCATAAAATGCTACGAAAAGAAGAGACTGCTTATTTAATTCATAGACACTTTGAGATGATTGTCCTCCCGTGGCTGGTTCCAATCGTTGTGGATAGGGTCCATACCCAAAGTCACAAGTATGTGAGATGTCTCAGGGCCCTTCACTCTCCTGTTTAACATCTACAGGAAGCCATTGGATGAGGTCATCTGTTGACCTCGGGTCAAGCATTGATTGGCCAAGTGATGCTACCTTTGATCTTCTCGCAGTTCCTGGAGGCTGTTGAGGTCTGGCTGGGGAGGAAGAGGTTTGAAGGGGTTTAACCCTGACACAACCAAATGGGTTTGTGGTGCTGGTGCAGTTTGGAGGCCTTCTGGGACTCACTGGTCCTGCAGGTGGCAATTGTGGATGGGAAGACCTTAGCATACTTCCATCGGCAGGGAGATGTTCTCAGAGTCACTTGTGCCTCAGTCATGAATGGATTATTGCATTCATGAACCTGGGGCCGACCTTGAAAACCGTTCCGAAGAGTTGGTCAATGATGCAGTGACATCCCGACTAATAGACATGCCTTTGCTTGCCCATACAATGCTTTTGTTTTGGAACTATAGAGAACTTCTGGTTGGTAATTAGATACAATTTTCATGGCACAAGACCTGGATATCCTAGGAACCAATTTCCTCTCATTTTTTCTGTCCATCCCATAAAAACTGAGGAAGTGTTTCATGTCCCGTAACTCCATCATTGTCAATTGATGTGGTCTAGGAAGCAGGTTTTGCTATCATAGT